TGAACCATATGTTAAAATGTAGGATGTAGAAGTGCTCTGAATGTAGGCAGAACAAGCTCAACTCTAGCTGCATGGCCAGGTGGAATTGATTAACAACCACAGTATTCTTTCATTTATTGCCTTTGTGGTAATGGTAATGTTGTTTGCTTTAATAGTATTGCCTAGGGGTATATACAGTTGTTGACTGGATCTGATCAAGGATGGGTTAAGATAGGTTAAAATTAGGCAACAATTGAGTGTCTATTTGGCCTGCATGAAAGCATTTTTAACTCATCCTGTCTTCACTGGACTATTGCCATTCTATTTCTTCATGTTTGATACCAGCTGTTGGCTCAGGGTAATTTTTAGCAGAAGTTTAAGACAGATTCTGTCATGGTGCATAAACTATCCTCTTAATTTTAGTGTGTTTTTTTTTTTTTTTTAATCAAGTGAAGCTATTTGGCAACACTTCATGTTTCTTTGCTAAGGAAATGGTGTTCTGAACATTTTTAAACCATTTTTCTCTACTTGTAATTAGCTACTACCACATTGTCCTAAGTAATTTATCCCACTTCCTTTTTGTCTGCCTTTGGCACTTGCTCTTGATTGTAGTCATCTTTCTTTTTCTCAACTGCAGTCACTGTAAATATAACCCTTTGCTTTATAGCACTAATGATGATTTTCACAGCTTCCTGCTTCTAAGTCGTGATTGAGTTGCAGAGAAGTTGTTTGCCTTTTTCAAAAATATTGAAATCTGCAGACTCTAGAGAATAAGACAGATATGAACTAGAAGTGATTTTTTTTTCCACAAAGACTTCCTGCAAGTAAGATGCAATTGTCCATGGACTTGGAATAAATTGCATCTTGTACCCTTAGAGATGGTTAAGATCACAGTGCAAAGATGAGTCCCCTCTCTGGTTTCTTGATTATCTTGAGGAGATGACAGGATATCATCAATAACTACACAGTCCAAGAAAGTTTGATTACTTTCCAGTTTTTAATTTTCTTTTCTTCAGCAGAGTCAAAGTGCATACTTATTGAATAATAAATCATCAGACTAAATTAGCATTTTAGGACAGATGTTTGATTTTGGTGATGATGGACAACTTGAAGGCTGCAGTCAGCAAGAATAAAGAGAGCTTCTAATATTGTCTCATCTGCAGAAGTAGTCATCCTGCTGAAGAATTGCAGTAACCAAGGTTGTTTCTTCACTGCTTTATCATCTGTAAAGGTTTAAAGACGTGTGCTGAAAATAATTACAGAGATGTTCCTTTGTTTACTTTAGTGGAGAACTTTATTCCTCTAGGATAATAAGGGATGTTCTTTTCGCCTATGTTTTAGGCATTGTAATGGAAACAAATTTTGAGCAGATCTAACTGTTCTTGTTACTGTTTATACCAGTTTTTAGTAGCTTGTCCTTTCCTAAGATTGCCAGTATGGAAGCTTTTAGTATTAAATATGTAAAGGGTACTCTTTGGAAAACTTAAACTTTTCATTGAAGCCTCTTCTCTTGAGAACACCATATTAACACCATATTTTTCTGATTAGCATATTATGAGGTTGGTTTGTTTTTTGTTGTTTTTTGTTGGTTTTTTTTTTTTTTTGAGAAATAAGATAGTACTCTAGCCAACTAAAACTCCATTTTTATAGCCTGCATTTTGCTTTTTTAAAGTAAATGTCCACTGAACAAACCTTCCCAGATGGTATTTAATATAGTTTGGTTTTTAGCTTTATCAATTCTGTGATGCTTTAATTTTCGTGTTTAGCTCTGAAGAACAGTGTTGTTATTCAAATGTTTGTTTTAGTTAAGTCACAATTACGGTATAAAATGGGCAAATACTGTTCCTCCTTAACTTCAAATGTTTTTAAACTATTGGCATTTAAAAAAGAATGTTTCCAAAACATGTAAGGAAAACGATTGCACTGCATCAGTAGTTACCAGATGTCTTTCAGTCCTTTAGAATTTCTGAAGGCATAGCTCTAAGAAATATTTCTATGTTGCTTTTCTTTTTCTTAATAGGTGGCAAAAAATGAGAAATTATAGGTGCTTGAACCTCTCTTTATGTATATTTTCATGTGATTGTTTCTTTACTTAGCTGTAGTACTACTTTGTCTACATAAAGGCTTTGGAAGACTTAATGTAAACACTGAAATAGTTGTTTGACTTTTTTGGTGAATTACCTGTGGAATGTGTCTTTAGGATTTTTACATTCTGAAGCAGTTAATGACTCAGCAAACAATGAGTTTAGCACTAATAACACAAAATAAAATTTTAAGGGTGAGGAGTTTATCTGATCCTGCATCCTGTTTCAGACTGACCTAGTGGATACTGCTAGAAATCTATAAAAACAAAACAAGCATAGAATGACTTTTCCTGTGTCATGGCAGATTTTGGTTTTGTGGCTTGTAGAAGGGATATCTGCACTCCCTGGCCATTGATGAGTATTTCTTCTGTGATTTCTATGACACTGGCCTTTCACAGTGTTTTGCACACTGAATAAAAGGGATATGATAAAGAAACAATTTAATAATTCAAGCCAGGCACTCTAGGGTAAGAAGTACCACAAGTAACAAAACTACACAAATCCATGCCTTTGGCTAACTTTAACAAATCTGAAAACATCATTTGTATGGGTTTATGTAGTATAATCAAGACTTTTCTTGACAAATGACAAAGATTATTAAGGGATTTAACAGACATTTTTTGCAGTTACCATATAATTCATGTAGCTCTTGTTGGAGTCCTTTCCTTTGATTTTTTGGAGAGAAAAGGAGAGCTGTGTTATTCTGTACTCTAAATTGGTGAGACTGGTATTGGCAGCTATATTATCTCTGTCTTCCTGTCTGGTAGATAAAAGAGAATATTTTCATCCTTCTTTCCAACGGTGCTCTGAGAGCTCAAGTTCTTTTGATGAATAATTGGCTGTCTTGGTAGTATGATCATCAGTTTTTACAACAAAATGCAAAGTCCTCTAAGGTTAAGTGGCTTTCCAGGATATCATTGCTTGTTCAGGTAGTGGCAGTGTCCGACAGGCACCACCTTGCAGATATAACATTTGTAATTTTTTAAATACAAGAACTTGTGTAAAAGGTGCACTTGGTCTATGTAAGCAAGTTATTCCCAACCTTAATTATTGTATGTAGGGTGCAAACATTCATGGGCTGTTTGGACAGCAGTGACAACATGCTTAGTAAAGATAATAAATTGCCTTAAGCAAAACATATGTATTGTTTTAGAACATATTTTAGAAAGATTGTACAAGGTGTTATTTTTGTATTAAGAACATTTTAGGTCTACTAATGAAATGGATTTAAATCAGTATAGTTTTTGTACAGTACCGAAATACTCCTATCAATCCATGTATAATCAGTATGTTGGCATGTAACAGATTCTTCTCTTGTATTAATTTTATTTCCATGTAAAATTTCAAACTCTAGAATGCAAAGCTTAAAATTTCATGATGAAAACATTGGCTAGACATTTGTAGATTATCTTTTGAAGTTGGTATCCAAACCCACCGTATATAGCATTGGGGGGAAAAAAAATTCCTAGGCATCCAAGAGCATTTTGTTGTGATTTTTCAAATTCATCAAATGAAAGCAGAAAGATGTAATAAAAGCTGTCAGACTGTTTTAACTGCAGATTTTGTTGCTACTTGCATTGCTTACTGTGCTGTGACAGATAGTGTTTATAGTTTTCAAACAATTCTGCAGTACTGTTTTTGCCAAGTGATAACTGTTTATCCTTTGAGAAATGTGGGCTCCCTGTATTCCACTAGAAATGATTTTTATCAGTTAATAGTATGATTCTCATTTGGTGTGCCTGAGAACATCCTTCTGCGCTGCCTGGCCTCTATAAAGAAGAGAGTTTAAAGCTGCTCTACAGAGCAACTGATCTTGTTTTGCTTTGTCCTACATATTGCTGTCATCAGTTGGTTGTAAGATGGATTCTGTCCAATTCTGGCATATTTCTGAAATTCAGTTGGAATTTTTTTTCTTTGTAATGAAGGACTGTGCAGTATTTTCCTATCAGTCTGTACTCTTAAGAAGTATTAGTAAATATAAACAAGGAAACAGTGTATGTGCTACAGTAGATACAGACTTAGTGCACACAAGTTCATTATCGCCCACTTCTTCAGTGGAACTTAAACCCATCATGTTGTTTGTTTACTGATGCTAATGGCTGCTTTTTCCTACTTGAAGGTCCTGAAGCAAAAGGGTGCCAAAAGCAGGAACTGATATTTTCTTGCACAAAAAGAAAATTATCAAGAAGATGCTTTAAGCGTAAATTAGCTGACTTTTTAATGTCTTTGCTAACCATGTATCTTGAGTAATTACCAGCTCATCTACATTTGATACAGCTGTTAAGTGCACTGAAGAGTGAATGCTAGATGCGTTCTTACAGGGGATCAGTCTAATTGTATATTTTCTTTTACACCTGGAAACTGCTTCTGTAAATGAAAGAGCTCCTGTTTTCATGCCTTTCTTTAGGTGATGTCACTGTGAGCTGTTAGCCTTTACTGAACGTGTAAGAAGGAGTTATTCGAGACCAAGGCATTTACCCTTCCATAGCCTTTCCCTGTCTTTGGCTTGCCAGATGTGCAAGCAGAGTCAGTTTTTACCAAGTGTTAAACCTTACCTGTTGGCAAATGGTGAATGCAAGTAGCTGGATGTTCTAGTACTGTAATCAAAGTACACTTTGATCAAGTGCCATTTGTTTGCCACTAAGTCAAACCTAGGGAAGAAAAGATTTCACTGGTCTGAATCCATGTCTTAGCCCCAGGTGTATAGAAGTCTAGGTGTAGTTTTAAAATCAGCTCAGGTAGGGGTATTGGCACGTTGCTTAACTGATTTGCCTCTTCTTTTCCCTTTGTTAAGTGAGAGGTTTTGTCTGTTCTTTGGACTGCTTATAAGGAATCAAAAGTAAATTCTCATTGGCTATTGAAAACATCAGTAAAAACTGTCATTTTTTCATGTTTGCTTGAGGTTTTTTGTTTTATTTTTTTTTTCCTTCTGATCAGGTACAAAGAAGGTGGTGAAGCTTTGTTGGTATTGCTTCCTTCAGAAGAAAAAGGCATGGTGGAACAGCTGGCTCAGAGGAAGGTACCTATCAGTGAAATCAAGTAAGTGACTAATGGCCTGTCTGTTATTTAGCCTTCTTTCTACAGGAGTAATGTGTGATGAGTCTGTGACAATCTTGATAAAGTGCTTTAATTGCCTGGAGCTGGACAAATCAGAGAAATGAATTAGTTTTGGTAGTGTTGTAGAAGGAAAAGACCTTGAGAGGTTACCTATTTTATTGCTGTTCCCAGAGGCAGGATGAGCTGCACAAATCATTCTTATCAGATGCCAATTAATATATTCACAATTTCCCAAAGAGACCTCATCCGTACTCAACAGTTACTACCATTAACATTTTTTCTTCAAATGTCTGATAAGACTTGTAAGTAATTTAAATGAAATATTTCTTTTGTCTTGTGCCAAGAATATATGGAAAGTGATGTATTCTCTTACTCTCTGCAGCTACTTTTTATGTAATTGAACATGATAATGCTCTCTTTCTCTTTTGCAGATTAAACAATTACAATTTCTTTAATCTGTCCCTGTATGTTTTTATTGCTGTTATCATTTTTGTTTCTCTTATCTATTTTTTCTTCAGTTCTGCACTATTTCTCCAATTTGTCATGACCTTTTTGAATCAGTTAGTTGAAGGACAGGAAGTAAAAGATAGTAATTTTATATACTAAAAAGAGGGTTCCAAGGGAAACCTGTAAGGAACTATGCTATCTGTACAAATAGAACTGACTTTGAAGGGGTTGCAGAAGCAAATAACAATACCAGGTAAAAATAGAAAAGCATGTTTCCATTTTCTGTTAAATACAGAGTAATGGGTATGTAAGAAACACAAAACCCCTTACTGTAAAAAATGCTAGAAAAAAAGACCACCACCAAAAGGATTGATGGTAGTTTCTTATTTAGCAGCTGTAGGTAGGAAGGAGTATACTGGTTTTTGAGCCTGTCAGTCTGATGTTGAATTAAGAGAGAAGAGAGTGTGAAGGAAATATGGAAGAAGAATTGAAAACGAGCCAGAAAATGTGATACGAGCCCAGCTCCATTTTTAACGCTTAGAAAGTTCAGGTCACACCATACCAAAAATTGTACAGCAGAAATAAAAGGAATCAGAGAAGGATGACAAGGTAGAAAATACAAGTTTCTGTGAGTGGATATGAGCAAAGCTAGTACTGTTTTACTTTGAAAAGCTGTGGTTTCATGTGAAGATACAGGTATCTAAGCAAAAAAGAGAATTAACTATGCTGAATTTCTCTGTAGAAAAATTGTTTTTGAGAAGAAATCAAATTTGGATGAAGCTTTGGGTGGTTATTTATACCTCATTGCTTAATCTTCAAGTTTGCTCAGAATTCAGAGATTGACATTTCTTCAGAGAATAGAAACAATGCATATAGCACTTGCTGGATTTAAGGTTTAGTTTTATTATTTTAAGTATTTTTGTTGTATAGGGTATGCCATTTCAAAAGCTCTTCTGAACTGCACTTGTGACTTCTATTTCTTTGTAACAAACTGAGTACACAGCAGCTGGTGAAATAAATCCACCTTTTCTGGTCAAACACATGTATCAAATCCATGTAGGATGTGCATATACTTAAAACAAACAACTTTTGCTAAAACAGTGAAATAAGAACTAGAATGCAGTCCAACAACTACTTAATGGCAAGCCCAAACAAAAACTCACCAACTGAATGTGGACAGTATCAGTAAAGAAACTGAAATCTGATATTTTCTTTTCCCTTAAGCATCACAGAACATTACAAGGATCTGTTGTATATCCGCTGCAGTAAATTCTCTCTTTCCAAACTTTATCTTTTTTCTTCTTAAAATGGTTGTTATTCAAGTAATTTATGTTACTTTTATATTCAGTAAATAAATGTCTAATCTCATGCACATTTTAAATATTTCCCCTTTTTTTGTCAGCTAAGCTTTTAACTTCATAAATAATGGTGTTGATTGTTTGAACAGCTTATCAAAGGAAGTGGTAAAAAACCCTCTTTAGGCTGTATTTATCTATGTAAATAGAAGTATATGTTTTTGTACAGGGATAATAATCCAATTTTAATAGGGCAAATATTTCACCCCCAATAAATGCATGTTATATGTAAAATCCAAATTAGGTGTGTCTCTGGAGAAGCATTCATAGCTGCATCTCATCTCTTAATTTATTGTTGTTAATACGATGTTACTTTAACAGAAAACTGCCTTTTTTTTTTTTTAACAATATCCCAAAAATCCATTATTGTACCAAGCCACTAGGACTTATGTATTATAAATACATTTAAGTAATATTCTTAATTGTAATAACTATTAGAAAAGTCAAGGGCTTTGATTGATAATATATTTTAACAGCCTGCCCCACGATCCGGGTTTTCAATCTGCAAAACAAACTTTAATAGAATTTATTAGCATCATAATGAAGGGGAATGTTTTCACTTAGAATTGTCTGCCTAGCGTGTTAAGATTTAAAAGATGTAGCGTTGTCCTTGTAAGAGGCTTAACTAAAATCCTTAAAAAGTTATTCTTGTAATTACTTGTGGATTGCAATCCAATTTAATTCTAGAAGTTTTTAACTACAGATTTTCTCATGCTGTTTACTTCCAGCCAGTTTCCCAATTAATACAACCCCGGTGTGTTTTGTCAGTTTATAAATTGTTTAAGAAGTTGCATGAACCCATGGATCATGTTCCAGGTCTTGTGGTGAAGTCTTCTCCTGTTGTTTGTGCTTATTCACCTAATTATAGATTCTTAAGAATTCTAGCTTGGGAATTAGAAGATAATGAGCATTGCTCTCTTCCAACAGAGTTTAACTCTTCGTGTTTCTGAAATTCACTCTGAAAGCTTTTTTTCAAAAGCTTGTTTCTAAAACATTGTTGTCTATTCAAGTGTTCGTTTTGCTGTTCTTATTAACCTGTTGTCTGGTCTAGTGGTTGTAAGATCTCTGTTACTTTTCTTATTTTGTATTTTTTGATTTGCAAACTATTTTCAATGTTCTTTTATTTCATGTAGACAGATCTTTTAAAACAGTTCCATAATTTGAAAGTAGTGGAAGGAAGAACTAATCTATTTTCTTTGATACCTGTTTAAAAGACTAGGGTTTAGACTCTTCCTTTAATTTTCAATTCTGAATCTAAGCTGCCCCTAGAGGTTTTCTTCTAATCAGCACAAGCTGCCAATTTACAGGTAATGCTTTTAACAGTACATAACTTCTTCATTGCTCAAACAGACCAAGAGAAACTGCAAAATATGCAGTAATAAATACCATATCTTGGAGCATTCAAATATGGCAAAAGGATGCTCTGAAAGTATTAAATGGTACATACGTTTTTTAAAGGAGTTTGTAATCTCCAAGTTTTCCATGCAAGCTATAAATTTAAATTATTTTTGATATTTTGAGGTTACCTTGCTGCACCCAACTTTGTTGGGTAAAAAGGTAAGAGCTGCTTCCTCAGGGGTTACCCTAACAGATTTTGTGTCTAGAAAATTTTACCAAAGGAAGTGCAAGTATATCAATACCCACAATGTAATATTGCTTCCTTTAATATTATGGCAAAAAGGGTGATTTTTGGAGAAATCAGCAATAACAACAAAACACATTTTTCTCTTCTTTTTTCTTTCTCATAGTGGATAATACTTGGATGTGTATTCCACACGTTGGTAGTATTAATATAGGGGATCTGTTAAAATTCACTGCCTCCCAGTTGCCATGGTTACTATAAGACAATACATTGGTGTCACTGATCAGTGTGGTTCTACACCTGTGTGTGATCTGCTGGGGTGAGCCTTCCTTAGGTGCCAGCCTTTCTCCTCTCTCCAGTTTTCAGGTTGTCTAGTGTAACCATAGGGAGCCACGTTCCAGACTGAGAGCACAGCGCAAAACCTGCTGCTGCTGCTTGTAAGCTGGGTGGAATATGGAAACTGTTTTGCTGCATCAGGGAAGCAGGGTCTTTTAGGTGGTTGTTGATATTTTTTGCTTAAGTTTTCCTTTGAAGAAGAGTGGGGAAAAGACAATGTCTAGTTAAAACAGTGCTTGTATCCTAGTATTAAAACCAGAGAAAATGAGAGGAAATCAAACTGTGTATCAAACAGTATATTTGAAGATTGCTGATCAGTTAATAAGGCCAAGCCAGCCGGGTTCATGTTTACATCATGGCACAGTCAAGTATGGCCATTTATGCAACTGGTAGGCAAAACTGTAGCTTCAGAAAGTTGTACTGCTCCTTAAAGGTAAGATATGTGATCACAGACTAAGAAATAACCAGCCTACTTTAAATGGCAGACAATGATATAAAAATCCCCTTCTAGGCCTTGCATAGTTGGTTCTAGCTCACTGGTTCTTAGCCATTTAGGCAAGCTTATAAATGATGATAATTAATTTCAGTGTTTAGCTGTTAGGTTTGCTTCTCCTAATAGTCACATATATACAATTTATTGTAAAGAGTTTTATTTGTTCAGAAAGAAATAACATACAAAGTCACTAAAGCCAAAATCCAATTAACAGTGGCCAGCTTTCTCATTTTTTGAATCTCAGTATGAGAGGAAGATGATTGTAGGTGACTGTCATGATACAGTGTTAGAGAAGAGAGAATTCAGTACTACTTCTGTTTTTTTGATAGTCAGTGCTGCAAATTTGCTCATTCATTGACAAACACATAAGCTCAAAATGTGCCTGGGGTACCATGTTCTTAGTTGACATCACTTAGATTTATACCACATTATCTAGCCATGCTTTTAAATGTGAAGTATCTTGTGGGTTTTTGTTTTTTTTAAACCCTTCTCTTGCAAATTTCAATCAAATTACTCCAAATTTATATGCAATCTACAAAATGTTGCTGTATTTTGTCTAGAATTGTTGTCTGTTATCTTGGAGCCTCAATGACATATAGTCTCTTATAAATAATGAATCATATTCCTACAATAATCAAGTCATAGAAAATAATGAGTAATAGCATGTCCAGGTGAAAACAGGAACTTTGTAAGCATTTTGAGTTTGACAGTGGCAGCAGGGAGTAGTTGGCAGTCTCAGCTACTCTTTGAGTAGTGCTCCAAGGCCATTTTTGCATTACTTAAAGATTTCACACTGACCATGTTTCCCTTCTTTAGGAGAATGTACAACTGCAGATGCTTTCCTGACACCAAATATGACATCTGATATTTTTTTCCCATGCTTAAAACCTGCTAATGCTGCTATGGAAGATAATTCAAACTGATGAATCATATTTTGCTTTTGACTAAGCTATGTTAGTTGTTATGTATTTGCTTATTTTCTTTAGGTCCTTACAAACGGCTTTTTTTTTTTGTATCAAAATTGGTATTGGTTAATTGTTAATTGCTATCATTAATTGTTTAACTTCCTTTTTGCCCCTTTGGAGTATGAGCACTGTATTTACATGGCCTGTTTGATAGGACTTTTTTTCTTTCATCTCAGATGAGTTCTTAAGATTAGCTACAACTGTTACTCCAAGTGTTTTTACTTTTTCTAGTTGCTATGGAGCAAATTTCTTTTGACCCAGCTGATTTATTGGAGTACTTGGTCTCCCATGATTTGTGATTCTGGTGTGAGCTTGCACTGTGCTGTAGCTGTTGTTAGGTGACTGATTGCAGCTGCCACTTTGAGTGAAGACAAGGAAAAAAGGCACTGGCTAATTTAAGGGCTTTGAGGTCATCTCTTAATAGCTTTCCCATAACTTAGCAGCAATCCAACACTTTTCTGGACTGTATTACTACTGGTGTTCATATTAATTTTTTTATAATTCATGCTATCCCTTTTTTACTTTTTGTATCATTATGTTTCAAAGATTTGTTGCTCAGTTTGTTCCCCACTCAATTTTTCATACTTCTTTTTTTCTATCTTATGCCTTTACATTTTTAGAACCAATTATATGCTGTCTAGAACTCATGTTTTTTGGTCTTTCACTAAAACTGTAGCTAATAATGCTTGTGTACACTGTAGTTTTCCCCTGGCTGTATCTGAACAGAGTGAAGAAATTGAAATTGTAAGGGAATGAAGTTTGGTATCAGTTTTCATATTTAGTAAGAAGAACCTCTGACGATGTTTGCTAGGTTGTATGATACACTGGGGTGGCAGTAGCAGCTCAAAAGTAGATGAGAAGAGATCTGGGCAAATAAACTTGCAATAAAGTAGGTATCACTGGAATAAGTTAAAAAATTTAGAATCTGGGAGAGGAGCTATATATCTTCATAGTAGGTTTAATGGCAATTTCTATAGTGCAGTCAATATTCTTTATTTACTTGAGAAGCTCTTAAATCTGTTTAATCTCAGTCCTTTATTATTGCTCACCTGGCTATTCTTTCTAAGAAGCACTTAAATTTCAGTATTCCTGGCACAATGAATCTTATTTAAACTTTTAAAAATGCTGACAATTTCCTTATGAAGACTTTGATTTCAGTATAAAGTAGTACTGTAATTCATTATGCTGTTTCTGTATTTTTATAAAATCAAGGAGCTCTTTTCTGCTGATTTCTGCTTTGCTTTGTAAGAAGTTTCATGACCTTCCATGAAAACTGTCTGAATAAAACAGCTGCTATTTGTCTTTTCTGCATTATTTGAGGAGTTTAATCTTCATCCTTAATATGGTCCCATTCTGTGCTGTTTCGGTGGTAATAGCTCTGTGCATATTAAAACAAGGAGGAAGATGTGATCATGCTCCTGAGAACCTGAGAATGGGTGGTTATTTTGGCATGCTCTAATAATTAAAGCTTTTTTTTTTTTTTTTTTGTTAGAATTAATCCTGAAAAACTTACAGACATCCAAAAGAGAATGCAAGCATTCTTAGCTCAAGATCAGGAGTTAAAAGAGAAAGCTCAAAGGGTAAGTCACCTGCTACAGTATAATTCTTGGGTCATGTTAGTTGAATAGAAGAACTGCTGTTTGAGTAACTCAACTTTTGATTGAATAGCTCAGACATGCCCTAGAAGCAGTGTTTGGAACTGAAGAACCACCAGAGATAATTGAGCACTTGGAGAATCTACTGTATTAGGAGAGAATCATAAATTAGAGAGAACCAGAGTCTTCTGAGTGATGCCCAGTGACAGGAGAGGAGGCAACAGGCACAGATTTCTGTACAAAAATCTTCATTTAAACTCAGAAAAAGCCTTTCTTGTAAGAGTGGTTGAACAGTAGAACAGCAAGTCTGTGCAGTCTCTAAATGCTGGTTATTAAAAACTGGGATGCTTCCTGAGTAGCCTGCCCTAGCTGACCTTGGTTTGAGCAGGTGTTTGGACTAGATGGTCTCTGAAGTTGAGAAGAAACTTCAACTTCTACAACTTTTTTAGAAAACTCATACAGAAAATTTCAAAATAAGGCTGCTAATAAAAAATGTTACTTAAAAATAGCAGATCACATTACTTGACTTGAAATGTTACAAGTATGAAACCATGTAAGCCTCAACATGCCCACCTTGATCAATTTTTATTGTCATATATCCTAATATGTGTGACAATTTGTCCTTTCTCAGGGTAGAATCCAGTGCATTAAATAAAGCACTTTAACTTTTGTTTGGATTTAAATGAGCAGCAAAATAGCTTAGAATAACTCTTCTGGGTAATTTGGAGAATTATGTAAATGGATTTATGAATGGGATTTCTTTGCTATGCTGGTTAATGCTGGGAGACTTCATGGACAATATGTGAATTTCACCATGCGTTTATCAGGTTTGGGGAAGGTAGGGAAACTTCAAATAACTAAGTAGGTTCCTGGATGAGAATGAGCTTGGTTGTAGAAGACACTTTCCATGAAAGGTAGCTTGTGAAACATTTCTGGAAATTGTGCTGCTTTTTGCCATCACTAAACATGTTTTCTGACCTTTGCCTGGTTTTATAATATTTTTAGGCCATGAACTCTTTGGAATAGAGCTTACTATTTGTTATATTGAAGCACTACAACATGTTGGTTTTCTGAGGCTGGTTGGTTTGTTGGGGTTTGGTTTTGTTTAATTTTGGTTTTGAAGTGTGTATATCATTAGCCTGTGAATTCTGTAGTTGTATCAAGTCTCTTCAAAACTATACAAAGTCAAAAGCTCAAATTAAGATGCAGAGAAACATGGGTGGAAAGATAATAGGCAAATCTTTCGTGCCATTTTTTCTTACATATGTAGCTCAAATTAAAAGAGTACAACCAAGGGCCACACAATGAGAAATCTAGAAATGCCAAAGCTTGAGAAATATATGATTGCAGAGATTCTGGGTTATTGTTAATAGCTTTTTGTTTGTGTGAGCTAGTGTGGGCATTAATGATACTTGAAGGTATAGTGGTAAACCTGAGGGGTAGGGTAAAATGAAAAGAGGATTGTGAAAGCTTAGAGAAACCAGGAGTTTTAAGCTTTTTGTTGAACTGGGATGTAAAATGAGTCAAGTTGAAATATTTAAAACTCTTGAGATTCATCTCACCTAGCTATAGATGTCCTTTGAGAGTTAGTCTGCCTGAACTTTCATTTATAGCTGACAGGGTGGAATAAGCACTTCTACAATGCCTTCTGGCACAGATACCTTAAAACCCCTTTGGGATGGATGGATGAATGTTGGTTTCATTTTGCTGCAGAGGTGGGCTATGTGATGCCACCTATCTTGAAGGCCTGCAGTAGGGACACTTAGTGAGTCAGAGGAATACCATTCTTACTTTCCTACACAGGGAGATTTAAATCAAAGTGCCTGAGGAGCTCAGTGGGAGCTTTGTGAATAAAATGTCTAAGGCAGCGTTCCAAGGGAATGCTTTTAAAACCTATTTTTGGCATTTAGGTATTCCAGGTTTTTGTAGTGCACAAAGCATTACTTGAAGCAGTGTGGAATGTCAGTGTAAGCCTCATCCTGGTGCTGCACGAACCTGAGGCACTGGTGACGTGTCACATTCACCTCCAGCTGCCACGGGAAGTTGCAGTTAGACTAATTTATGTCAGAAGTGACAGAGCAGCTGGCTCTGGGAGGACAAGAGTAGGAGGAATCCAGCATCATTTTACTTGGAATGAAAACACCAACAAACCTCTGTTTCTGCCTTTGGCTTTTTAGCATCTCGTAAAAGACAGAGAAGGATTATTCTGAATTGAGCAGAAGAAAATAATGATAAAGTTTCAGAGTAGCCAAAGAATAAAATCAAACATGGACTGTCTGTCAGTATTGTAGATACAAACTTAGATTTGTTTTGAAAAATTTTAATTGCCATATAATTACCCTTTCAGGCCATTTTTGTTGCAGTTTTTAATGTATGGATAGCAGAGAAGTGTCATTCTTGCAGTCAAGCTGTAAATACATTCAATTTTTTGAAAAACTTGAAGTATGGACAAGTGGTTTATCACAGAAGTATCCCTCTTTAATAAGGTTTAACTATGAATGTTTAGACATACTATGCAAATGTGCCCAAGTAGTGGCACAGTGTGTCAGTGTGAATAAAACAATAATATTAATGCAAGTGAAATCCTGACCTTGGATCCTTATCTGAAATGCTGGATTCCTCCAAGGCTTGGGTGTTGTGTTGTCTAGCCTGTCTGGTGCAAGCCACCAAGTTCTTGACATTTGTAGCTTAAGAAAGAAATTCCCGTCCTGAATGGATGAGATAGCAGTGGAGCAGCACAGCTATGCAGAGAAGTTTGGGTAGGATGGTAGTCCTACCATCATGTGCCGAGGGCATGAGGCTTATTGTGTCCTCTAAGCTTGTTGATTTACTTCAAGGTGCTTTTACTTTGTTGGAAAATAGAAGGTTCTTGATTACTAATTGCTTCAATAGACTTCATAGTTCATTTGGTAGGACATGGCTCCCCTGTTACTGCTTGGAAAGACAGTTTGAGTCAGACTGGGGCTCCTTTGAAACCTTTGCAGTTCTTCTCATGGACTGATGCTGCCTTTTGGCATTTCTTGTAATTTTAATATTTAATATGTCAGTTCAGCCACTTCTGGAAAACAGTTTAAAAAAAAAAATAAAATCTGTTTTTCTTGCTAGTTCGAATGTTACTGTGGCACTGAAGTGATATCTGTCCATTAAATTCTTCATCACAGCCAGAGAGATGTGCAGGGTGTTGCAGCCTGAGATTCCAGCTACACCTTGTTACTTTTGAGTTACTGTCAAAACACCACATCAATTGAATTGTGTGCATTTTAATGCTTAAAATATTTTAAAAAATACTTTAGAATTTTAAAAATATCCAGGAAATAGATCAATAAATTAAAATATAGAGGTAGTAAATTCATAGAGCACAGTGCTTTTTCCTTACGTATTTCCAGGACTTATACAATAATCTCCAGTGCTTTTGGAGACCTGTAGATACAATTTTAGTAGAACTGTAATATGTTAATGATGCCCAACCATAACATTTTCCGTAGAAGTTAATGCATATAATATTTTTACAATGTTCAGTTATTTAATAAAAGAAGTCTTGAAAGTGGTATCAAAAAGCAGATATGGCAGGGGACAACAGCAGTTGTAAAATAGCAGGGGAAAGTTCAGACTGACTTAAACCTGTTCTCCCTCAGCTCCAGTGTGTGTGCGCAGGCTGAGGAAGTTTTAGGATAACAGAAAATAAAATCCAACTGAGATGGCAGAGTTTTAGACAGAGGTTGAAATGAATACACTGAAATAAAATTAAAAAAATCAAAGTAAATAGCTTGATTTCTCTTCCTGTAAAGTGGAACATTTTATGTTTCTTCTATGCATTTGTTTGGTGTTTTATTCTTAGTTATTGTATGGCTTGATAAGCATGCAAAAGGTGTGTTCTTTCTGCCCTTTATAGTTTGTTAATTTCTAGACCGTGTGTACCAAAGGTATGCTAGTAAGGTGATAGTTTTATCAGTTATCCAATAGACATAATGAGATTTCAACCTGTAGCACGTAGTGACTCATGTAGATATTCAAATCTGCAAATCTTAGATTCACAGGAAGGATACTTCTTTTTTAACCTACTTTTTTTTTTCCATCTGTCATTGCAGAGAAAAAAGAGGCTTTCATTGATTTTTGTCACTTGCCAGACAACAGTAGATTAATGAGATCTATCAAATTTGAAGCCTTTTCCTAAACATTCTAATTACCTTTGTAAAATGATTAATAATTCAGTGTGAGCAAAGAAGTGTTTTATTCCACATCTCAATCTTGGTGGCAACTGAATGAATTGATCTCCCACTTTCCACAGCTAATATTAATTGAAGGACATAATCAGGAAGGAAACTTTAACCAAAAACCCCTCAGCATTAGGAAAACCAAGCAAATGAAAATTTACTTTTATAGTGAAGTGATGGGCAGCTTGCAAAGTATATCTCTTGTCTCTACATACCTTACAATCACTAGTTTTTCAGGAGAAAAGAATGAGTTTATGATGTTGCTTAATTACTGTCTTACCTTTTATTTCACCTTTGGAAGTGTTTTTTCCCTTAAAAACATTTAGAAAATCCCCACAAGACATTAATGCTCCTGACTGTTGTGTGTTTGCTCCTCTACCTGAGGTTAACAAGAAATAGATATTTTTTTCTTAACATTCCACATGAATTACTAATACAGTAATTCTCCAATAGCTGCCTGTACATAACAGACCAAGGAAGTGATTATAGGATGCTTGAACATAACTCTGTGAGGATAACTTGATGTTGTTATTAGTGTTTGATGGTTTAAGCCTCATGGTAAGAGTTCTGGCATATGTTAGAAATAAGGTTATGAACAACAGAAACCCAATGATCCTTTCTGATACTTGAAATATTTCAGCATTTATGCTGCTAGACTATGTAAAAGAAGCATGAGAAGAATAAGAGTCCTTTTGGGAAGGATGGCAGGAAAATGCACTACAAGATTAAGTTATTCTCTTATGCAGTACTTCCAGTTTTTTTTTTTAGAAAGTCTGTGATTAGTTGATACTTCAACCTTGGACTGGTTTCAGTAGGTGCTGTATAGTGAATTTGTCTTGGTCAGCTGAGTTGCATTCATTGACTGTGTGTATGTGATGAGCTGATGGTAAGTGCAAGGTAATAGGAATCATCTTAGACAGCTATATGAAAGGCAGCTATATTGAGTTGAATAACTTTCTGCTCGTGGCTAAGATTAAGTCAGGACACCTTGGACTGATGGCAACAAAGTCTGTTCTAAGTTCCACATAATTTAGATAATGGAATAGCATAACAACATTCTGAAAAGCTAGGAGAAAAAAAATCAAATTGAATCAGTGATGTTTCCTTCTGACTAATCTGTCATATTTTCTTTCTAGGAAAACATAACATGACATACTGTTGAGAAATTCAGTCAATTCAGCTAATGTGAATGCAATGAAATATTTGAGTACTTGAAGCTGCATCACTTCTGTAGCAGTGATAAATTTTGTCTGATGAGTATTTATAAAATAATTTCAGTCTGAAATTGATGTTTGACCACCTAATAGTGAAATTCTATTTTGTGTTTAGAGCAACAATATAATGTTTGTTTCTTGTGTTGGTAATTGAATGATGTCTTTTTTTATTAAATACTTTTATTTTTCTTTCAGTGTTTTGTATCCTACTTGCGTTCAGTTTACTTAATGAAGAATAAGGAAGTATTTGATGTTTTCAAATTGCCTCTAGCAGAATATGCCCTGTAAGTATGGCCAACTTAAAATATGAAAGCTGTATAGTGAGATGCTTTGCAGTCTTTAAATAGCTGTTTTGATTGTGTTAACACACAGAATTGGACTTCTAGTCTTCTAGTGTATTTAGTTTCATATTCATGCTGAACTTCTGCATATTTTCAAGAGCATTCTAAATGGAAATTATGTGTAAAAGCAATATATTGCTGTACAGAGAAATAACTTACAGCAGAATGTCCACTTGGTATATGCACTAGAAGACATAACTTCTGAAGTAAAAGGATAGAGAATATGTTTTGGTGTTTCTCCCCACTCCAGATTTGCCCTTCAGCCTCATAGCTAAATACCAACCTGTAAAGTGTATTATTTAAAAAGAAACTGGAGTATCTAAAGATGATTCATTGCAGTCTCGTTTTGAGTGTGATTTGGACATTTCTCCTTGGCCATTAATTACTTTTAAAAAGATTCAGTGTGTTTTGTACAGATGAAGCATCTGCACTAGATTGAATAGCATCTATTTTGCTATGTCTATTTTTGTACTTATATGTGAATCATTCCATATTTTGTATGGGAGGGAAATTAATTTTGACAGGTTGACTTTACAGATGACAGCCCCCTGAAATTGTTTTAAGATCTGAAATTTTTGAAATTTCATGGGACATAGGGTAGTCATAAGGGAGCAGGAAGATGTTGAAAGATTCATTGTAAATTAATTTGATATGTGTGGAATATCACACAGAGAAGGTTAACATGCCAGCACATGGCATAATGAACTAAAATGTGACAAATTACTAGACTGGAACACCTGGTCTTAAAACCAATCTTAACATGATTGGTTTTTAAAATACATAAGCCTATTATAAAAGGTGCTTTTTAACTTCATGGACTGAGAGATTTTGAAAAAGAACTAGCCTAAAGCTCAAAAATTTTTGCCACATGCAATGGCTTCCTGTTTTCTTGTGTGGTTTGTCAGCATCTTTAAAGTCTCTTGTAGGTCTTACTGTGCTATGAATGTTAGGAATAGCAGCAGTAGATTAAGGCTAAGAGGGATAACCACACATACTCAACCAATGTAAGAAACAGACTAGCAGATGGTGGTAATGCTAAACTTTCAGAGTCCCATTGCCTCTTTCTGGATTTCAGCATGGTTTGTCATCTAGCATCTGTAGACGGAGTAATCTACAGTTCTGTTCTTCTCAGGTCTCTGTGCCAGGATTTGGACCTTCCTCAGAATAATTTTGAGTCTCAGCTTTGGAAAGCTACTAATGTCATTCCTGTAATAAAATGAAAAAAACCAGTCAGTTGTTTGGAGAGAGTAGGAGAGGTTTAGTCAAGGCTGTGAAACACGTGGCAGTATAATAAAAAAGTCAGAAAATAATAAATCTGGGAGATAATTTGGAGATTCTGTTCTAGTTTGTTGGCACTCTTCTTCCCTTCTCTCCAGACTGCTTGTCTACCTAAATATACCCTGCAGATCCCTAGCTTTCAGTTCAGTGCACATCCACTGATACATGGATCAGTCATCTTCATTTATATTAAAGTCTCTCAAAGTCTGGTGTGTTTGAATTTTGCATCCAGAAGCAACATTGATTTCCGTTCTGCACACAAACTTATGGCAAAATCTTAAATGAGAATACTTCTTTCCCTTTACCTTCTCTGTGCATTTTCTGAAAAGTACTTCAGCCTTTCTGTGGATATTTACTGCTAGCTTGATAGATGTTACTCCACTAAAAATCCTGCAGAGAAAATAGGCTGCTTAATGCCCCTGTCAGGTTTGCATTGCAGGCTGTTGCCCATATTCCCTGCTTGGCATGTCTGTGCACTGAGATTCTCTTAATCTCTGTTGATTGAGTCTGCAGCAGAAAAGCAAGTATTTTTCATTTTTATATGTTACATAAGATTATATATATATATAAATACAATATATATAAAACAGAACATACAAAAAATGTGTGCATACACACACACACACCCCTATTCTAGTGATTGATCACCTTTAAGCTATGGTTCATTACTATTCTCTCCAGTATTCTCTCATTATAAATTGCTATCAAGAATAATTTGCTGGAGGAAGACTTGTGTAGGCCTTGTGCTAACATAGGCAGCCTTTAATTCTGATGAAGAAGCTCAGTGCTTGCATTAAAGAGAGAAATTTGTCTTTTGATTGCAAAGGACAGCTTTGAAAACATAAGAAAACGTAAACAAAGAACAGGGTGAAAAGGAATAATTACTTAGTCTGGACTCCTGCAGAGGAAGCAGTGTTTTGAAATATTTTCTTTCTTGGGCACTTTATGTTGCTAACTGCTAATACATATATACATATATATACACATACACACGCTGTTCTCCAGGGGCAGATCTTAACAGTTGAGTGTGCTGGATAGACAGATTAGTCACAGTTCTATGGGACCGCCAGGGAAGGTAATTTTCTTTGTGACTGTCGTCATGTCTTTCAGGAGAAATGCAGCATATTTTCCTGGTTCTCCCTGTATTGGTACATAGAGAATAAATAAAACAAGTTGAAGCCAAATTACTGGGAAAATGTCAGATACACGCTCCTTAGTATCCAGATAGTTTTGCAAGTATTGCTTGCAGGTCAGTACTGAAAAGCAGTAGGTAGCAACAGGTGCTGTAGGCTGAAATGGGTGATGTTAGAATACATGATCCTTCTGTCTGTCCTTTCACTAACCAGGGAAAGCACCCACTGGACTCTCATCCCCACCCCTGGCCTGACCCTTACTGCATGGTCAGGGCATGTTTCATTTGTTACCTTGTTTAGGGCTGTCTTGTCCTCAGGCAGTGCCTGTTCCAGGCTTTGCAGGTCTTGTCCTCCCTTTGCTGGTTCTTGGCCCTCCTTATACTTACTTTTCTACATTATAATCTCCTAGCTAAAAAGATGGCTCCTAATTACTTTTCCCCTGTTGTTTCCAGTCTTTTTGCATCTGTAACCAGATTTACTATTTCTCATGCTGTTAGCTGGTTAATGTCAGCCTCTGTATGTTATTGCTCATACAGACCCCAGCATTCCCTCCAGTCATTTGCAGAGTTTGGGCGTTCCTCATTGAGCTCCCTCTCAGCCACCTGAGATCCAGCTGTCTCTTCCTGAGCTTCTGTAACTACTGTAAACTTTTGCTTTGTGAAGAAGCTGCAGTCTCCTCTTTCAAAGTCCAGGGTCATTATTCTCTTAGTCATCATCCTCATTTCTTCTAAGATCTTAAGCTATCTTTTCTCATTCTGCAGCCAAGCTGGCTATTGACCTTCGCTCACCTTAGAAGTGAATGTATCTGCATATGCATGAATAGCAGTTCCTGTAGAGTGCCTATCAGAACTGGCTAAGCCAGCTAACTTGGAGAAAGGGTTTTTAATGCACTCTAGAAAACCTTGTTGCTTGTTCCCTGCTGTGTTGCCCTCTGAGCAGGTATCAGGGTGGCTCAAGTACCAAAGAACACCACCGAGGTTTGGAACTGCAATGTGGAGTTTTACTTTTGTAAGGAAGACCACATCTTGGTCTTCTGAATTATTAGATTGCAACCATGACATCCTCTTTGTTCTCTTTCTCTTTGGTCCTGACCCATAAAGTCTTGAATAGCTTGGCCCTCATTATTATTAATAGTGTGCCAGACATTTTTGCTCCTTAATGGAGAGGAATAAACCTGGCTGGTAAAGTAAATAGCACAGCAAACACAATTTCTCTGTTCATTTTGGTCATTAATCAGACCATCTGGAAAGCCTGTTAGTTCAGATTTGTGTCTTTTCAGTTGATGTGATATCTCCTGTTTCTCTTGTTTCAACCTCCAAATGGTTGCTCATCCTGTCTTCTGTAAACATTTTAAATGTTAAATGCGGGTGTATCATATATTGCTAGGCAAGTAATACATATTTCTTCTCTTGAAATATTTCATCTCTTGTGGGAGTATTTAATCTTTTTCAACCTATTTTAAATCTTTGTCTGAACCTGTTCTACACTAAAAGTAATCCCTGTGCTGTGTTTGTATGTGTTCAAATAATTTTGAAGTAGTTCACTAATGGAATATGTCTATATTTAGTAAATGGACTAAGTTATTATCAGACTGAATCAGTAACGTGTGTAAAATTGTTGTGCAGCAGTTCAGCAGATGTGACCCCAAATTCTTTACAGCTGGCTCATGTTTTAAAAAGGACTAGTAATCTTCTAGGAGCACATTAGGAGCATTTACAAATGCTTAAATACTTAAAAATGTAAAGATGTTAGCAGTCTTGCATTTGTTTTTTGCAAGGATAGATTTTGCTTAGAGTGTCTAAGATTAGGTTTTTCTGAAGAGTTGGGAGATGTCAAGTTTTTCTCTCATCCCAGTAAAGTAATGTCACCATTGCATTATGTGTTAATATAAACACACTCCAGGTCTTTGTATAAGCACAATTAAGAAACCTAAGAAGAGGCATTATTTTAAGTATGTTACACTGTTCATTTAAATTAGTTTTTTAAAAAAGTTAATTAATGTTTGATATTCATTATTCACTAGAAACAAAAGCAGTATTCTCCTTAAAGCCATACAGCGTTATTTCTTTGCAATTTTACTCTTTTAACTTATTTCCTGAAAGTCTTTGTGAACTTGCTACTAAATTAGCAATGGTACTTGAGCATTATAGGTCATTTGTTTAGTTACTTCTATGCATTCCATAATCAGTGTTAGGGAATGCTGATGTCTGGCCACCTAGGTTTCAGTTGAGGAGTAGAACTGTCAGCTGTACTTTGATTTATAGCAGCAAAACATTCCCTTTGTTTAAGAATTGCCTTTAGAAGCTGATTTCAAACGTCTTTCTAGAAGAGCTTGCTCTTTAGAAGTCATTGCATTTCACACCCAAATATGAAACAGGATTGTTTAGTTTTTCAGCTGAATTGTTGCTGCTGTTTAAAGTCTGCCATAGTCTGAGGACTGCATTGTGGTGTTAGTGTGTTTTTAGTGTTGTCTGTTAGGATTTATGAAATCTCACAAAACAACTTACCTGCTTCTTGTCTGTCTTTATCAGAAAACCCTGCACATTTCTTATTCCAGATGAGTGTGTGAAATGGTAGCACTAAAGTGAAAAAAAAAGCTGAAACTTAAGTCATGGTAGGATTGCGGTCTGAGTGGTATCGAATGAATTACTCAGAACTAATAATGCCCATTCTAGCTTATGAAAAGAAAGGCTGGTTCATAGATTGAGTTGTTTCAGTATGACTGAACTATAGATTTGGTGAATAATTAAGAAATAGCTTCTAAAGAAACTGCCAAATCTTAAAATATGGAGAAGCTTTTAGCAGTAGTAGAATGTCCAGATTGTCCCAGATTTTTCTCCATTTGGAATATACTATAAAAAAGAGTCAGTAATGAGCCAAAACACTGACATTTCTTTGAAAAGTTATGTAATTACAAGTATCAAGGAATTATTTCATACATTTTTTCTAAGCTTATCTACTATTACTGTCTTACCAAATAAATTTGACCTTCTGCCTGAGGTCTGTATTCTTTTGGAAGTAATTTGAATTCTGAGAGTGCTGGTCTTTTTCAGTAGGCTTGCTAAGCAGTGTAGAAAAAATTTCCAAGACTGACAATTAAATTTATTCAATTATTAAAGTAAGACATCAGTGAAGTACAGCAGACTGGCAAGTGGAATTTCATACTTGAATGAAAAAAAAATCTGGTGTCTTGTCCACATCATGGGCCGCTCTTTCTGTTTTGTAACTTTCGGTGAACAGAGAATAGTTTTTCACCATGTCAGATTTTTCTGTGCAAGTCTATTCCTGATCTTTGATGCTAGCTCTGGAGGTGTAGAAGAAAAGCTCTGATAAAACCAGAGTTCTCAACCCTGTGTACCTTGTACCTGTCTGCTTGAGTAAGAGAAGTGAACACTGATTGTGTAGTTGCCATACAGTATTGCTGCAGCTTGCATTGCTTTGTTAACACTTGACAGCAATACTTTATGTAGAATAATGTGAAATCTGGAAAAGCAAAAAATCGTTTCTCTTGCAAAGGACTTGATTTTTGCTACTTTGATCCTTTTGCTGAAGAAATTGAATGCAGCAATCTCCTGATGTGTGTTTCACTGTGCCTGGTGTTAAGGCCCAATTCCAGGTTTGAATGGCTTCCAGCTGCTGCAGTGAAGCATTGCATCTGCTGTTTGGTGATTTCCATTACAGTTAGTCAATAGGCCAAACTTTAACACATCATTTCATTGCAAAGGTAATTAGTGTTTGCTGTCAAACAGTAAAACAAGTTTAAGATTGCTAGTTGCTCCAATTTCAGCTCCCAGTGGTGTTGAGGTATCCTTTGCACTGTCAGTAAATGTACAAAATACACTGGATAAAAACTTCCTTTGAGCCTTTTTCATAAAATTTTATTTGCTTTGTTGTTGTTGTTAATTGCATGTAGAACAGTGCCGAATTATCAGAAACACTAAGCCAAAATTTTAAACCAAAATTACAGTAAAAATAAACTTTATCTGTTGAAAGATTTGTTCTTTATCCTAACAGTGTGAATTGCTGTTTGGGTTTGTGTCTACTTTTAACCTGTGGCTGGTACCAAAATTGCCCTGTTTAACCACAGGTGTGGTTACAATTGGAGGTTTTTTTTTGTTTAAAATTGGATTTGTTCAAGCAGGGTACTCCTTTTGACTACCCTTTTGCATTGGCTACCATTAAAATTTCAAGGCTCTCTAGGGCCAACAGTGCACTCTTGCTGCTCTTCAGTATCTTTTGGGTACTTCATTGACTGTTTATAATGACATTTCTGCCAGGTAGTATGGATTAGATACTTCTCCTGTACTATAACTTGGGTTCCTTTCAGAGGCTGTGTAGTGAAAAGAAGAAATTATGCTATCTACTTGAACAGCATTGAGAGGAGAGGTAGTGTATAGCTATGCATGTTTTGAATTGAAAGTGGCTGATCTTCTACAGGTGTGGATGCCTGTGTATATTTGTAGACACTGCAGTTGGTTAAATCCTTTATTCTTTTGTTAAGTGTGTGTAAAACCACCAGGTACTACTTTCAGTTCTGTGTCATGGGTTCTCTGTTTCTTGCACCAGTACCAGTGTTCCCTCACCTAATGAGGAGGCTCATGAACTCTGAAAGAGTTGCTTTTTATTTTTTATTTTTTTTTTATTTTGATTTGATAGGGTCAGGTGTAATAACAGTGGATAGTTACAAAGTTTACTGAAGTCAAATGGGCTGTTGGAGTCAGGGTATCTGTTCCCATGCAGTGCTCTCCAGTATTGTTGCTAGACAGGATTTTTGCTTTTTCTGCAATTTTTGCCCCTTCGTGTAATGTTTATTAGTATGACTTCAAACTGTCATGAATAACTGGGTAAAATAATAGTTTTGCTGGCACTGTTAGTTACATATGCTGTGGAGATAAAACCTTGCTGTAGAGAGGTGGAAGCAGGTGAAATTAATTGCCTTTAAGGAAGAAACGTCTCTCCCCTAGCTTTTTCTGCAGTTAGTCATTCATGCATACCTTATTTTTCTCCTGGTCTCTCAGTCACTGTGAAGTTGGGGGGGATAATGTTCTGGGTGTACTCCCAATAGTGAAGGACACTTGACAGATCAGTGTTACCTCAGTCCTTGACATGAAATCCATGCATTTGCAATATCAGATTACATTGGTGTTTCTTCTACCGTGTTTTACTGTGAATTGTAAATAATTAATTGGCTCTTATCTACAAGTTACCGGCTTCATTCTTTGCTTACCTTCCTAGGCAGCTTGTAATTGTTATTGAGAGCTCTCAGTTGTTTCATCTTGTGTTCTCCTCCAATGTTCCCTTGTGTTTTTCATGCTAGATTTTTCTAAATGTGTTGATCAAAATGTATCAATATGAATGGTCATAACTGAAATTTAATCACTTGAGCCATCAACGAGGGCTTCTAATTTAGTCGAATTTTGTGTATCTACCTTTTAAATGTATTTGGTTTATTCCATGCTTTAGATCACTTGGTCTTGCAATGGCACCTCGTGTGAGATTCCTTCAAAGAGTTCAGAAGCAGCTGTATGTGAATGAGGCAGCCAATGGGACAGATCACTTGGAGGAGACAGAGCAAAATGAGAATACCCTCACCTTGGTAAATGAGGAAACAGTGGAGAAATGTGGAACTAGTTTCAGTGGAGAAACATCTGTTAATAAAACAAAGGAAAAGCAGAGAAGAAAAGAAACTGAGGAATGTTCTGCTTCCAGTGGAAGTGCTGAGGAAAGTGGCGAGTCTGAGGATGAGTCGAAAGAGCTGTCTGAGGAGGAGGAAAAAGAGATTCATGTACCTAACAGGGTACCAAACTCAGACTCCATGCAGTTCTTTGAAGATGATGACGATGATGATGAAGATGATACTGAAGGTCTTGATTTGCTGACAGTGAAACAACGGGATGTTTTTGGTGTGGAAGCTAAAGATAATCCAGCACTGGTAAGTGCTTTATAGTAAGGCTCATGAATCTTAATATTTTTTTATTGGACTTGCTCCAAGGAAGGAGGAGAGGAAAAGAGGAAATTCTGCTCTTTGCAGAATACTTGCTTGAAGTTGGACGTGTTGTGCATATGTATCAGAGGTCATAAACACTCCCAAAAGATAAGTGGTGTGACTTAGCTTTTATCATTATATGCAGTTAGCATAGTTTTACTTGCATAACGAATATCCTTGTACTCTCTTTAATTTATGAATAATGTGACTCGAAAACCTTGGAAGTTTTGACAGTTTTAATTCTTATCTCTTCCTAATTTGCTTGTAAGTCACTAAATAGCTGCCACTTTCAGTCGTAATTTTGATGCTGAACCACAGTTTATAGCACTGGGAACTGAATTGCAATACAGGATGAGCCACTTCCCAGCAGAAATCATAGCAGAATGATCTTTACAAGAATGTAACCTTCAAACAATGACTTTTACTTTCAACAGGACCACTGCTATTAAGAATTGAGCCAGTATCAAAGAGAGAAAGTGGCCATGTTTCTTGTAAAGCATGGTTATAAAGGTTTATTGAAAGTATTCATGTAAATATTTCATTTCCTTGTCAAGTAGCTTTATAATTTTGTTTTTTTTATCCTTGATGGTCTGAGAAATATTTTTTTTCTTTTAATCTTTAAAGACAGTGTTACAGTAAGGGGAATTTTGATGATTTTTTAATTTTTTTTTTTGTAATTTCTGTAAAGCTGATTTGGTATGTGCATATTGGGGTTTTTTGGTTGTTTTTTTTTTTTGGTGTATCCTTTGCTATCTAGCAACTGTATTTCTCTAGTAAAAAGATACAAGCAAAATAACCATCTGGTTTTGCAAGGTGTTCTTCTGAACTTAGATGCATTCAAGGGGAGCCTCCTGTTAAGCAGAGTATTTATTTTTCCAACTGATACTTTAAATCTTTCTTTTTCTGGGCTGTTACTTAACAACACAGGGCACTTACCATGACCTTGAAGCTAATCAGCCTACTAGCTGCATCAATAAGCAGCATCTTTCCTTTGGTATATAGTGAAGTATGAACTAGTTTTATCAGTTGTCATTGTCAAAGAGGAGCAGTTGCACAGTAATCTGACTGCTGCCTGCACTCTCCTCTCCGCTGTGAGGAGGCTGACACAGGTTGCAATCTCATCTGTGGAATGTGGAAACAGAGTTAACTTTCTGTTCCTGTTATTCTAAGCCTGAATAGTTCTGCCCAGGCATGGCCACTGCTTGGTAGTAGCTTATATTTATTCATAAATTTCAGATTAGTGTAGAAAAGAGCTTTGTGTTTTAAAAACAAATTGGAGTAAAACATCTGTGCCTTATTTAAAGAATGATTATCTCATGGCTTTCTTATTGCTCCTACAATTTTGCATGCTGAAATATAGACAATTTCATGTTGTTTTTAGTATGTTGGCAGGTTTTGTTCAGGAAATAGTAAAGGTAAGTTTGAGGTAAAAGAATGAACAGAAGAAATTTGAAAATGAACAGAAAAAAATTGAAATATGAAAAGTACAAGTGATTTAGAAAGTAATTTGTAACCACACTAGGTAACCTTTTAAGAGTTTTCCAGCATTAAACATTTATAGGTTAGTTTATGTTCAGGCAGTTCAGACATTATTTTCTGTGATGCAAAGTGGAATAACTGCTGTTTGGGTTAGTAGTTCATGTATGTAGTTCACGTTTGGTGTGCAAGTGCAGAAGACCTTGTATCACTTAGAAGCTCCTGTACATGGGGCATAATAACAAAATATTAAGTTTCTCTACTAAGCAGCTGAGAACAAAAAAATGAAAAGTTTCAAGATCTATGCCATTAAGAACTTAAATTGTATTTAAATAAACTCCTGCAGAAATGCCTACGGTAATGAAATATGTGATTTTTAGAAAGTCAAAATGCAGTCAAAAGCATACTCTGCTTAACTTGATTAATGTTTATTGTGATCAGTTTATTAACATATAATACTGTGAAAAGTACTGATAAACTGTGGAATGCTTTAAATGTAAGGATTCTAATTTTAGTAAGGATAAGAGGGTAAAGGTTTTTGTCACTAAACATATTAACTTCTAAAGTTTTGTTATAGAAATGCAACATAGCAGAAATTACATAAAAAGATTTGGGCATTGTGTATTTTTTATTTGACATAACTCAGCACCTCATTTTCTGGATGTTAAGACAAAATTGATAAAGTGCAGCAGTTTAGTTGTTTTTTTTTTTTTTTTTTCAGTTCTTTAGTTTCTTGGATAGAAGTTCTGAAGTGATTATTATTGCATTAAGATGGATCAGTTCATATTTAAAGCATTACTGTTCTGGGGTGTGAGAAGCACTGAGCAGTGTGAATGCAGTTTTCCTGGTGCTGTGTGTTGAAGTGTCCTTCTAGGAAGGACTCAGGAGCTAGTTTGCTGCATTTCTAGGATAAGGCAGTGCATTAATTAATAGTAGGAAAGGCTGCAGAGAGTCTAGGAATATGAACATGGAGTTCATACACTCAGCTGCATCAGTTAGGAGGATTTTCTGGAAAATGTGTTCTGTGTGCTAAGTAAGATAGGAGTCCTTTGCAAACACTGGTATGTGGTCATCTAATTGTGGGCTTTTAATTATGTCCACAAAGATTGAATTCAGTTTGCATTTATGCTTTTAATGTGTATAATTGATTGAGCAATTTCACTATTCTTGCTTTAGGCTTCTCATCGACAGCAGAGCAGTCCTGCTGTGATTATGGAGCGCCAGGACATTTTTTGTAAATGGAAACATTAGGTTTAGTTTCAGTTTTTGAATTGCTGTAGTGAGAGACACCATTACTTCCTCGTCCTTGTCTCTATCCCAGTCCCTCCAATGGAAGAAGGAGCAAGGGGAAGTGTTAGGCTGGCTCTGAGTATCCTCTGTGATGATGTAGTGCCCCAACCTTTGGTTACAGGGGGGGTTGGCTCATCCATCTTTGTACCAAGGGAAAAGAACTGGTCAAAAAGAGCAGGGTTATTTAAACTGCTGGTGGACTAGAAGGGGATTTGTGGGATTTTTGTAGAAGTTTGTTTTTGGTGAATGTGTGTGGTACCTATTCTAGCTGTAGAAGAGGTTATGGTGTAAAGTGTGACCCATCCAGTGTTAATCTTCTAACAGCTTTACTTGTGGCTCAATTTCACTCTTTCCCTTTCTTGGAGTGTATCCCTTGGCTGCATGTGTACTTTGTCTCTGTCACTTTGTGACAACACATATGAAAGAAAAACCTCTTTTCTGCATCGCTGTATAAAAGGAGAAACCTTGGATAAGGTGGAAGACCTTGGCAGATAGTGCAATTTTATTATGAGCTTCCTAGCTCATTTTTTTAAGAGGTAGTAACTGGCTGCTCCATTTATTAATTTTACTTTGATATGTCAGGATTTTTAGCTGGTGGTCTAACTCATGGGACTTATTTAGATAAGTAGTCTTCTTATGCATGAAAAGAAGGTCAGCTATATGCATAGAGCCATTAGCAGATAGGCAGTATTTAGCTGTTGTGTTAGCATTGTGGAAATTATTCTTTTAAAGTGCATTTAACAGTATTAGCAGTATTGATGTTGCAAAGACTGTAAGTACTCCCTGGTTACAAACTTCGTTTCTAATGCTAATTTTATGAAATTGCTTTTTGCATTTGGCAGTTCAAAGGCTGTACTTGTTCAACTTCTATCATTATTTATTTTGAGAACTGAGATCAAACCTATAATATTTTTTCTTAGTTTTGTTTACACTTTCATTTTAGTCAACTTGTCAAACATACTGCATACTGTCTGACTTCTCTTCTGCTCTTGAATTTTCTGTTTTAGTGCAGAAAATACTACATTACTGCGTTCTAAGGATTGCTCTGACTTCCTCCCTGCTCCCCCATCCCTTGTTTTATGGACTCCTAAAACTTCTCAAGTTCATTTAACATTCACTGCTTGGAACACTGTAAGAAGCAAAAGCATAGAGGGGGCTGCCTTGAATAGTACTTGCAGATTCCTTGGAGTTAGTCTGGCTCTTGAAGAGCATGCTGTTTGAATATTGTGGCAATAGAAAGAAATTATTTTATATGCTGTGTTTTTGTCTGAGCTATCTGGCTTGACTTGCAATCCATTATTATTACATACAGTGAAATTGTCTTAACTTCTCAAACACACAAACACCGTAAATTGACATGTTATGACCAGGATATGTACATATTGATAAAAGCAGGAAAGAAGAGACAAAGGTAAATCTCCCTAACTAGCAATGATGGGTGACTCTATACCAAGAAGAGTGTTAGCTCTTTGTAATGTGGACTTTGCACATTATATAGATCAAGGAAACATCATTTAAAATGCACCAAAATGAGGACATAGTCCCCTGGAATTTTCTTCTGTGATGTCAAGAAGAAAGCCTGTTACAGTCCACAGAAATCAAAATTAATTTTCAGATATGTGATTTATCTAGATTGCTTCTCTTATATTGTCTTTTCTCTCTGAATGGGATTTCCTTCTTCATGTGAAGTGTTACGAGAGAACTTTTCACCACTCTTATGTTTATATACTGCTCTTTTTGGTTTGAAACATCTCGTTTTTCTCACCACCTCTTACTACATATTATTCCTATGTTTTCATATTAATATATTTTAAACAGTTGACTTTGTCTCCTTGAAGCTTTTCAGGGGACAGCAAGATAAAAAAATACCCGAAGGAAGGAAGAAGCAAGGAAGCAAGCTGTCTGGCTCTGGTAGTGGCATTTCCCTTGGGGGTAGCCTGCTTTGCTCCTGCTGTAGCAGTGTGTTGTGTCCAGGAGAAGAAAGCTGCCCCGGGCAGTCTGCTGGCTCTAAAGAGAGTATTATTCCTTGGAGACATATAGCAAAGTGAGTGTCTGGCAGAGAAAATAGAGAAGTTACTTATTTGTAAGTTAAATAAAAGTCAACACTGTGATGCATTACATACCATAAAATCTGCTTCCTAAGGAATGTAAGTGCTTTAGGTTCTCAGCCCAGTAACAGA